GAGTAAAAAGGGAACAAATAAAGGAAACAAACCTGTTCATTTCAAATGAAATTTACGAAACAAAAAAAAAATAGGAAAAAAGATGCCAAAACCTGAGAAATGGAAAGGTAAGAAATGGTAATAGAAGAAGATGTAATCACACCACTTATTTTTATTGATCTGTAATACATGGTTTTAGATATTTCCGAAAATTGTTCTAATAACGATTTTAGAGCCGTAAAAAAATTTATGTGAAAATAGCATGAAGGCCAATCAAATCTAAGCCTACAGGGTATAAGCCAAATATTTGATTTCACTGAGGAATGCCGAGACAGCGTTAAGATGACTGACCAAGTTTCAAATCTCAAAAACTTCCCTTTAGGTATGTTCTGCTTCTGAATTTAATAAAAGCATTACTGTTCAGTGTCCTTTAATTCATGTGATGCAAATAATTGGGAAAAACGTTCCGATTTGATATCACTTGATTATTGATACAGTTGAAAGTCACTGGACATTATGCAATTATACAATTTCAGAGGAGCAGAAGTACGGATTTCCACCATTTCCGGTCCATATTCGATCGAAACGTGCAGCACTGATTTCGACACTTTTATTTTTGCTTAAAGTCGTCTCTTTCAACGATAATTTGCACATATTCTTATCATTTTGTCCTAAAGTAATTGCTTAGAAATTAAAAATTTTGTTTTCAAACTGCTTTTTATAATTTAATATTGAATATCTGAAGGAATTACGAAAGATTTCCTTGCATTTTAGACAAATTATTTCATTTATAGAAGGAAGGGAGCGGTTATTAAATTAATATATTTTAAAAACAAATTGTAATTCCCAAAACCAGAGCAAGGAATTAATTTCAAGTGGCAGAGAATGCAATTACCAACTACATTTAAAATGGGAGACTTGTTGGGGGAAATTTCTATTTGGCGATAGATGGATCCATTTTTGAAATGACCATACCAAACTGTGGAATGGCTTTTTCCAATAATTCCTGAAGCAGTGTCAATTTTCGTAGGATAACATTATACAGAGTGAAGGAAATTGATTATCTTAAAATACCAAAATCGATAGTGTTATTACTTCAAGTTTAGAAAGCTTAACGAAAGATTGAACCATCATATTAAGCTTCAGACATATCAAACTACTTTATCGAAATGATTTTGAAAAAAAAGATGAGTAAACTTTTGCGGAAACTACAAATTATCCGTTCAATTTTCTAGAGAAACGATAAAATCTCGACTAATGTATGAAATATAGTAGTAACTTTGCTGAAATTGTTGTTTCTGAGCGTCAATTTACTTTGTAAAAGTTTTGCTACACTTGTCCAAACATTCGTTTTTTAATTAAAAAGATTTAGATTTGAAAAATTTGCAGTATCCAAATACAGGATCCATGATGAAAGATGTGAAGATGTGTCTGAATTGACATCTGCTCAAACATTAAATTCTTCCTTGAATTTTAATGGTATACCCAGAAGGAAGCCTCACCGAATAAATTCTTTTCTCGATTTGTGAGACAAGAAGCAACAATTCGAAAATATTGGTCTGACATAATCATATTTTCTCCTAAACGATGCTTTGAAGAAAAATGTGGAACATTATGATAAAGTAAAGTTAAATTAATTTAAACTAATAGAATGTCGAAGTCCTTCCTTGTGTCACATCTCTTTAATTTACTATAGTTTGAAATTTTCATACTAAAAAATTTCGGATTCCTAAAAAAATTAACACAAACTGAATAGAAAACAAACAGCGTCAAACACTGAAACTGTTTTGTAATGGTTGGAAAAACTAATAATTAATTCTATTCATTGCTTCAGACCTCTGCTTCTATTTCCGTTTTGTTCTATATTTTGGGCCAATCTTTTGGAAGCTAAATTTCGCTCTTTCCATTCGCTGTAAGCTCGCATACGACGATAATATTCGCTTTTGCATGCTGACGACAGTTTCAGATCTTAAGGAATCAGAAGCATTGTGAATATTTCATTATTTATTTGTTTAAAGAAGTGATTGATTTATTCTTGAAAACACATGAAATACAATAATGAAAGCATACCATTGGAATTGATACCATTTCTGATATCAACATAATGCCATTTAGATAAATCGCATGGTTGAATCACATGGTTATTTCCTCTAAATGTTAGTTCTTATTTCTCGGAAAAAATTTTTTCAAGTGAAAAAAGAAACTTATTTGATTTTAACCAAGAATACCCTATTAAAACATTGCTATAAATCAGTGAATAAGTTTACAGCAGCTGACGCTTTCCCTCTTCCATGGTTTCTGTATGTCCCAATGATTCATCCAAACACTGTGCTACCTGTTGAACTTCTTGTCCTTGTTCACTAATTGTCTGACTAAAGATTGGAACTTATTAGCATTCACATTCTAAGATAAAAGTTATACCAATTCCCATCTTTACGTTTTAACGTCATATTTGCAACAGAAATTTCACTAAAGATACGAATGATTTAAGAAACTAAACTTTTGTTTTACAAAATATTCACTTTAATTCATTTTTGACTTGACTTTCTTGTTTCTTTCCCAACTTTTCATACTCTTTTGACAGAAATTTCTTCTGTATCCCCAATAGCTCACTAGTAGCAACCTGATTTCTATAAAAATTTGATGTATTTATGTCAAGAATAAGTTATCAAGAAGTTTGATCACAATGATAAATTTGATTTTTAATAATTGAACTAAACAAGACAAAATTGGAGTCTCCTTATAGAAACACTATAATTCGCCTTTGATGTTTACCTCAAACATTTCAACTTTTCTTTCGCATCCTTCACCAATGCATCACATCGATGTAAGATTTCTCTATTGGCTGAACATGAGGTATGCTGGAATTTTATTTTGACTTTTGAAGCCTTCAAACAATGCTATGTTTATATTTTATCAAGCTATCGCTATTATTAAGGTAAAACGTTCAACGATATATAGCATAGAGTTTTTCTGAACAAATAGAAATGATAACAGTCTGCGTGCATGATGAACAAAGTATGTTCAAATTAAGTTCAACTCCAAGTCAAGTAATTTTACCTTCATTTCATATTTGAGCTTTTTAATATCCTCCTTCCAAGATTCAATAACAGCTGTCCATTTCTGTAAATCCGTTTCATCCAGCTTATTAACTATGGAATAAATACCATTTATATTTTCTGACAGCGCCGATAAATCCGATAAAGCATTTATCCTGGAATACGCATATAACATCTGAAGTACCGTCTGAAATAAAATTAGAAACTGGATTTCGAAAAAGATGCATTTTTTTGAAAGTGAATTAGAGGCCGAAATGCATTGCAGTCTGCAGAGTTCAGAAAATATTGTTGGAGCAGAGATTGAAAATCTTGAGGGTTTCCAATGGTCGCTTGTATAAGTCAAATAGTAATACCTTGGTTGGTACAACTTGTGCACTATAAAGGTGCGAACAGCGCTTTGGATTCTGATGCGACACTTTTCCCTGTATGCCAGCAATCTTCCCACTAAAATAGTTAACTTTCTTCGAAACAAATGGTGAGAACCGAATCAAAGTAGTGGTACGTGATAAAGTATGTGATAATCATCAAAAATTTCTTCAGTGTCACCTCTGACTAGGCATATAACTGCAAACTGTGCTCTTCGGAATCGAAAGCGACACAACCAGGATGACATTCGTTCAGTGAAATTTTCAATTTTTTCTTTAGTTAGATATAGTAGCTGAAATGACAAACCAATGCCAAAATTTAAAATTTAGAATGAAGGGTTTTCTTATTTAATCTTCGAAGCATAAAGCGTTAAAGACTTCTTTTCAAAACTAACTCCGAAATTCATTTTTATTTTTCAATTAAACCTTGTCGAACGCAGCAAATTTTCCGTGTCGGAAGAATGCTTTCGTGAGACCAAATTTGTAATCTTTCTCTTCCAAGCCAACAACACGAAATAGGCACTGAAATTTATTCTAGAAATGATCATTCGGAATTTATTTGAAAACGAATCCAAGAAATGGATAAATCAGCAAATTTTCAATTTCGAACTGATCCTACCTTACAAAGTAATTGAACATCAAGCGTTGCAAGTTTGCTGGGCAAATACTTTTGATATGCATTATATAATGAGAGGTAAGACATTCTGTAATGCATAGACATTTTACTTTACAACTATTTAAGGAAGCTGGTAGCGATGACTTTTGACATTTGATCTCCGCAGGCAATTAGAGTAAAATAAACACCTTGTTATGTTGACCTATGAGTCAGGCGGTGTGACCTTAATTCTGAGTCATAGTTCAAGAAATATAAGAATCTGAGTCTTATTTTAAAACCTGATGTTATTTATCCTGAACTTAAAGGTATCTTATTACCTGGATTTTAATTAATGGATAAGAATAAGGACATCGAAAGTTAACCTTGACGGAAATCCTCGCTGCATAACTTTCAATGCGCTAGACATTCCAGAGCACTTCAGCTGCAGCAAAATTTGCGCACCATCAAAATGATTGGATTTCATTTCCGAATTGGGTTTAATACACCGCACAAAGTGTGTTCCCTCAAACAAATGAGATTGGCAAAGCATTCACTGTAATGCTTTCGGTGATATTATGATAGCTTCAGAATAATACCAGAAGTTCATCATTTCACATATATTATGGAAACATTTACAAAATGACAAAAAAATTTCAATTAGTTCGGCAATCTACCGTTTCACGTAGTTTTGCAAGTAAAATATTAAGTTGTGAGCGAAATTTGTTTCCAACTGATGCATTCATTAATTTGCCCAACGACACATCTCTTTTTTCAGGATTTGAAAATTCGCTGTCGGTAAACAGTTCACAAACTAAG